AATGGAGTCATGTCTCAGCTCTGCTTCTGAAATCGAGAAGGATAACTGACTCAGAAGGCTGGTCTGTTTCTAAAAACGTCTTGGCAGCATTAAGCTATTGCTTGACAAATGACAAGTAATATGGGCTTAGCTGAAAGACCTGACTTGCTTTGTAGAAATAATTACGTGGAATTACATTTTCACAATTTCTAAGCCTTACATAGTGAATTGTATGCAACATATTAACCGTCATAGCTTTGATGAAAGTAATGGGGTTCGTACAGAAGCTACGACACAACTAACTAGCTGGTGAATTAACTCTAAAGATTTACGCACCAACTGCAATATATACAGCCTAGCGGTTTTATTCATTGAGGCCGTCTCTGCATTTATCCTTCTTATTTTAACAAAAATGAAAGGATAACAATTTGTCTTCCAAGAAGCATTAGGAAAAAATAGAGAAAAACTGTAACGTATACTTCCTGGTAAAATATTTCTATATTATTAATCATTTATAGCTGATGGGATTTGTTTTACAAGATCTTTACTTTTTTCTACCAAATATATAGCATATTGCAACACAAATTGCAGCAAAATATTTAGTAACATATTTTAATGGACATTTTATTTTGCATCTAAATGTAATTATTTTATATTCAACAAACGGGACAAGACAATCCTTTGAGTTTTGAATTGAATCATATTTTCTAAATGAGAAATTCTGTCATTTTTCCCTCCTTGGATCACACATGCTTATTGCGATCGAGAAAAAGTAGTTCTATCATAACTTGAGGGCGCGTAGTGTCCATGGTTTTATTAAAAAAATAAAAGTAAGTAATTTAGGAAAATAATTGCATATAGTTACATAGTTACAGTAGCTGAAAAGAGACTTGCGTCCATCAAGTTCAGCCTTCCTCACATATGTTTTTGCTGTTGATCCAAAAGAAGGCAAAAAACCCAGTCTGAAGCACATCCAATTTTGCCACAAACTAGGAAAAAATTCCTTCTTGACCCCATAATGGCAGTCAGATGTCTCCTTGGATCAAGCAGCTATTACCCCACTAATTACAAATTGTATCCCTGTATGTTATGTTTTTTGCAAGTATTTATCCAATTGCAGTTTAAACATCTGTAATGACTCTGACAAAACCACCTCTTCAGGCAGAGAATTCCATATCCTTATTTCTCTTACTGTAAAAAAAAACCTTTTCTTTGCCTTAGATGAAATCTCCTTTCTTCAAGCCTAAATGTGTGACCTCGTGTCCTATGTATAGCCCTGTTTATGAAAAGATTACCAGATAAAGGTTTGTACTGTCCCTGAATATATTTGTATAATGTTATCATATCCCCTCTTAGATGCCGTTTTTCCAAACGAAAGAGATTTACATTTTTTAACCTTTCTTCATAACTAAAATGCTCCATTATTTATCAATTTTGTAGCTCGTATCTGTACTTTTTCTTTTTTTTTTTAAATATTCTTTTTTATTTTTCTATACAATGACAGACAATACATTAGATAAACATTATTTAAAAGCATCCATAATATATTTTTTTATTCGTTATTTAAGAGCAAGGGAGGACACATAAAAAACAGAATATGATTAATATCACCGATTACAGTGAACATGACATTTATTAAGTGCTTATTCACACGCGACGTACATACGTCTATCACCTGCTTATTTATACAATAGTAAAAAGAAAAAGCCGAGTAAATAAAACAGGGGAAACAAGTGACGTGGCAGGAACCAGGCATAAGATGGAGAACCAAAACCGTCCTCCCATGGCTCTCACACCGTATGCAAGGCATCCATGCTGCGTTTAACCTGTGCTGTCAACTTGTCCATTAGTAAGTTGTCTGATATATTTTTAAGTCTGAAAATTAATCATAAAACATAGGGAGTTGTTAATGTGTTAGATGTTCAAAAGTCATGATAAGAGTAAAATAGTTAATATTGTAGAAAACATTGTAAGAATATTTAATGACGTTGTGGGATATGTTTCCTCTGTTTAAAACACTTTTGTTAATATTACTCACATTGGACAATGCCTGTATGGGGCAATTAAAAAAGAAGGAAGGAAGAAAGGAAAAAAAAAAGGGGGGGGGGGAGAAAACCTTTTTCCTGGCTGTGTTAACTCAATTTGCCTTTTTTAAGAGATGAGAGTGTGTATTAGAAAAGCATTATTATATCTGTCTCTTAATTCTAACATATTCCTATTGATTGGTACATGTCTGGAGAAGCTGCTGTGTGCATTTCTTTACATATTTATAGGTTTAATGTGTTAAACATGGTGTGATGTCTCAATAGGTGAGAAGTGAGAGCTCAGCAGGTCAGAAGGAAGGGACTGCAGGCTCGCAGGGCATAAGTTCCCATTAGGCAGAATAGGCGCCTGTCCAGGAGGGGCACCTGTTTTCAGCACTTATAATATGTCTATTTGAGAATAAATATGCTGGCGGGGAGAGATAAGTCTTGGCCTGTGTCCTCTGTAATTCAGATAACCTCCTATGCTATGAAAGCAGAGACACAGGATCAGTTATAGAGGCTGTAAAACTCAATGCTGCCCAATGTCAGTGTGTGTGAGGCTGGACAGGAAGAGGAAGGGATCACCGGACCACAGAGACATGGAGGGTGAGTACAGATAACCCTTCAAACTCCAACACTTAAACGAGAAAGCCTGAAAATAAATACTTTACATTAAAGGGACACTACAGTCACCAGAAACACAGCAGCTTAATGTAGTGTCCCTGTAGACTTTTTAATGTAAACGCTGCCTTTTCAGAGAAAATATAGTGTTTACATTGCATCCTAGGGACACCTCCAGGGGCAGTCACTCACACTAGACTAGAGGTGCGGCACCTACATTCAGCGTCTCCATACACGGAATGCTCCCCATAGAGATGTACTGATTCGATGTATAACTATGAGTAGATGCTGGCTGTGCATGCGCAATAGCCTCTCAATGCTTTCCTGAGGGAAAACACTGTATTGGTTGAGATCATCAAATATAATGATCTCAGCCAAGGAGGCGGAGTGGGGCAGGACCAGCTGCAACGAGACTGGTGCAGTGCTGGAAATAAGGTGAGTAATATCAACTTTGTAACGTGAGGCAAGAGGGGCACCTAAGTAGAACTATAGTGTCAGGAATATATGTTTATATTGCTGACACTATAGAGTTCCTTTAATCCTAGGTTTAACTCCTCTTAAAACCTAAACACCTGATATTCCCAGCCCTAAATTCAACCCAATTCTATCCGTAACTCAATAGCAGTAAAACACTGATGTACCAAAATGCTAAATTTAACCCCACTGTAATCTTTAACCCAATAACCCTTTAACAGACCATTTACTACAACTATAACTCCTCTCAAGCTATTAATGTTCTTAACACTAAACATCTTGTATAATCTAACTCTGATATTAACCCCTCTCTAATAGTGATGTCCCGAACGGTTCGCCGAACGGTTTGCGAACGGTTCGCCACGAACGTTTCGCCACAGACTTATCATTGAGTAAACTTTGACCCTGTACCTCACAGTCAGCAGACACATTCCAGCCAGTCAGCAGCAGACTCTCCCTCCCAGGCCCTCCCACCTCCTGGACAGCTCACTAAGAATGCAGCTTCAAAATGGATGCTGTCCAGGAGGTGGGAGGGTCTGCTGCTGATTGGCTGGATGTGTCTGCTGACTGTGAGGTACAGGGTCAAAGTTTACTCAATGATGAGTCCGTGGCGAATCGTTCGTGGCGAACCGTTCGTGGTGAACCGTTCGCGAACCGTTCGCGAACCGTTCGGGACATCACTACTCTCTAACCCTATCCCTCACCTTACACCTTACACTTTTTTGGTGCAGAAATACGCACATACCTATATTTATACAAATGATTTTGCAAAATATGAATATATATATAATGATACGTATTTAGACCTGCTATGCCCAGTGCTTTATTTGCACTTTTGGGTTGGAGAGCAGAGGGTATCTTATAATTTTGACATGTAAGTTCGGGCCTGCAGGTACAGGAGGTAGAGATGAATTTCAGAGGTGCGGTCTCGAAGACCTAGCTAAATCTAGCTGCCGCTGATTATGCAGATACATACATTGAAATTCTGTTTAGCGTGATGTGTGTATTTTCCTTTTATGTTTTCATTTTTGCCTTTTCTATTTTGTTTATATAGTTTTCTGGGTAACCAGCAGAGGGAGCTAGCATTGACAGCCTAAAAATGTGGATTTATCTTTCGAAAGAGTTTATTCCATCAGATTCTGTGCAGATTTTTAAATGGCTCGATGCTATTTTGAGGTCAAAACAGAACATTAATATGTGGCGTGACAGCTTCTTGCCCCAAAGATAAATCAAAATACCCTTTTGGGTTCAATAAGGTTTTTTTTTTTTTCAATTTGTGGTTAAATTAGAAATTGCTTCAAATCAATGTTTTTTTTGCCTTTTTTTGTTAATATGTAACATATTCAAGTTTCGACAGGGCTGGTAGTAAATACATATAACCCACACCTGTTATGCACAAATATATTTGAACCAAATGTAACCTATCAACCAACTTAATATATGGTTCTGTAACATAAATTGAAAAGAAATGAAATTTAATATTGCTGGTAAAACAGGGTACAATCATTTGGCACATTTTACTTATTTATATTCCTTCCAACTATGAGTGACAACATATAGGCCTCAATTTAATATGCTTGGGTAAGCTTTTCAAATGATTTCATTATTTTGGATAAGCTTTTAAAATTATTTTTTCAACATATTAAAATATATTTAAAAAGGGGCGGAGCCTGACTGGCTTCCTGAGTAGACGCACGATTGCTGAGATCCTGCAGCCAAAACAGAGAAATCGCACAAAACTCGTTGTTAAAAGCTCGCACCTACACGAGCTTGCCATACCTGAGCTCAGAGTGCCTCACTGAATCCCTGGATGCTTCCAGTTTGAGAATCGGTGCACAGCAACCCAAGATGTTTAACCACGGCCTGCAGGCACCCCGTCCTCTCTCTGGTGGCCCGGGAGACATGACACTCTCCTCCAGTGGCCCGGGAGACATGACACTCTCCCCCAGCCGACAGCCCGCAACAACTGGGCAAACTACAATGGCGGACGCCACGTGGATAACAAGCCACGGCACAGAGGAGCCTGATATCCTGAAGCGGCTAGAGCTCACCTTTGCAGCCTTTTGGGTAAAACTAGCCGACAAACTGGAACAGGTACAGCCCTGCAAGCCAAAAGTCACCTTGCCCGACGTACCATCACCCAGCTCCCACCAGCGACAAGTCACCCCCAAGCGGAAGAGTGTTGGAAAATGGCGCCGGAGACGACGACACTTCCAGCCTGCTCGCAATCCTGCTCGCACTCACAGAGCAAGGGGTGGGAACCCTTCTGAGAGACCGCCGCGACATTGGTGGGGATACAACAGAAGGCACAACACCAAGAAGGCACCAGGTGGCACCCCTCCACCGACAGCTCCCACCTGCCGGCCCACTGTGAGCTGGGAAAGCTTGCTGCAAGCAACATGAATGCGGGACACTGTACACCCACAGACAGGCATCAGGTAAAGAGTCTAAACTGTACAAACTCTATGGCCACCAACTATATATATGGACTATGGCATATACTCACACAAAAACGAACGCTATCCTGTCGCCCATTCCTTGTTGTTTCTCCCTGTGTAATAAATCTGTAGTCTCATTAGGGTATGTGAGCACATCTCTCAAATGACAAGTACCCACAATTGCACACTACCTATCTCCTAGTACTACTAATACTGCTTAACATGCTTAAAAATACAGCCTTACCAACATATATGCTCCACCTATGCCTATGATGCTCTAGCTAATATATTAACGTACTGGCAGAACACATAGAGACCTATGGCCTGGGACTTAATCCCTTATAACTTCAAAGTACTAAACAGAGTGCTAATCATTATTTTATGCAGGTCACGTGTAATACCTCTCTTCTTTGTGAAACGTTAAATGCTAAAAATTGTCGAGACCTGCAGCAAAGGTGTTATAACAGCCTGTCTATCTTTATATTTTAAAAATTGTGCCAAGACCAAACTGTCATACAAATGTACAACCGTGTCAAAACTATGCTTGCACATGCTGTCGTGGCAGTGTAAGATGTATTGGTATTACTTGCAACAAAAAATAAAGAATTTAAAATAAATAAATAATAATAATCTGTGTGCAAGGCCTGACCTCCACGAGGCAACACCCTAAAAAAAAAAGTACACTACCCACTCACTGGTTTGTAACCATCAGTTAAACTCCCTTGTTGTACGAAGGGTTAATGTCGTGGCTATAATTGCTGTTTTCTTGATATATTGTAACTGTGCTGTACTTTACCCATTCTATTTTGTATCCTATCTTCTTTGAAAAAAACCTTAATAAAAACAGTATGTATAAACAATTTTTTTTTTAAATAAAAATATATAAAAAAAAAAAAATACATCATATATAAAACAACATTAATATATCAAAAGAAATATAAAAATATTACATCATTTGAAAAGCTTATTCCAAAATATTAAATCAAGGCTACGTTATGTGTTCTTCTGACTGTCACAACCTGCGCAGTGAAACCAAAACAGATTACATTCTGAGGGAAATTGTTACTTAGTACCGGAGCATCATTGCACGTTAACAGCCTTTATGTATCCTGATGTAGCACACGTAACGCATAGCAAACAGAAAAACAGCTCATATCCTGGAAGAAAACGGATTTGACATTTACGTACTTTGATGTCAAAGTGCAATGTACTTCATATTTACTGCCTTCAGAGTTTTTCATTGTCAGGACTTCAAACTGAATTCAAATTTGGGCCACAAATCAGGCCACAACAGCCAAACTGAAACTCTCCAATGCAGATGTGTTTCTAGTTCTGCTAATTTTGCCTAAAATGTTAAATGACACTATAGTCACCAATATAACTTTAGCTTATTGAAACAGTTTTGGTGTATATATCATGCTCCTGCAGTATCACTGCTCAATTTTCTGCCATCTAGGAGTTAAATCACTTTATTTATGCAGCCTTAATCACACCTCCCTGCATGTGACTTATACAGCCTTCCTAAACACTTCCTGTAAAGAGTCATCTAATGATCACACTTACTTTATTCCACATTCTGTTTAATTTAGAGTTTCTTATCTACTGCTCTGCTAATAGCTTACTAGACCCTGCAGGAGTTTCCTGTGTGTAATTAAAGTTTAATTTACAGAGCAGAAGATAAAAACTTTCAAACTAAGTAACATCTGGTTGAAAATGAAACCATTTTGTTTTCATGCAGACAATGTCAGTCACAGCCAGGGGAGGTGTAGCTAGGGCTGCATAAACAGAAGCAAAAGTGATTTAACTCCTAAATGACAGTAAATTGGGCAGTGAAACTTCAGAAGCATGAGCTACACATTTAACCCCTTAAGGACCGGACTTCTGGAATAAAAAGGAATCATGACATGTCACACATGTCATGTGTCTTTAAGGGGTTAAACTGCTTCATTAACCCCTGAAGGACACATGGCATGTGTGACATGTCATGATTCCCTTTTATTCCAGAAGTTTGGTCTTTAAGGGGTTAAAGGATCACTATAGTGTCAGGAAAACAAACCCGTTTTCCTGACACTATAGTGCCCTAACGGTGCCCCCACCCTCAGGGTAACCTCCTGTGTACCCTAATCCAGCGCTGGGCTCCCTTGGCACTGGTGACCTCTCCTTCCCCGCCGACGTCAGCTCCTGAGTGGAGCAGAATGCGCATGCGCAGCAAGTGCCACGTGTGCATTCAAGCAGTCCATAGGAAAGCATTTCTCAATGCTTTCCTATGGATGTTCTGCACGCTGGATGCACGAAGACAGCCACTACAGGTTGGATTAACCCTGCTATGTAAACATAGCAGTTTCTCCTGCTATGTTTACATCTGAAGGGTTAAAACCGGAGGGACCTGGCACCCAGACCACTTCATTGAGCTGAAGTGGTCTGGGTGACAATAGTGTCTCTATTTTGGTGACTATAGTGTCCCTTTAAATTCATTTTGAATTCACTCTAAAGTCCTAGAGAAGCTATAACTGGGCCTTGGGGGCTGTGGACATTTAGACATTTAGACGTTAACCCACTAAGTGGATTAAGGACCTTACGCACTAATACAGAAAGCTGCTGTGAAAACTGGTACCTGATTTAAACAGTTCCCAGCATGCTTTGGGCAGGGAAGAGGATGTGGTTCTTTTCCCAGACATTTATGTGAATTCACTGGGTCTTGTGTACAGATTTACTCTATTGCTGCTGATAGTAACTTATTCAATAATATGGATATATCAAACCATCAGTGTTATTCCATAAACATTTGCTGGGAATTCAAAGTAAATGTCAGTATGTCAGATAATAAGTCAAATGACCAAACTGAACCCAGAGTGGACTTTTAGCATTTTTCTAAATGGGCTATTTGGGCCTAAATTTTGAAATTCACTTTCAAATTCTCAACAGTTCTTACGTTCGTTGCTTTTACACAACTTCCTATCAGTTTCAAAAATGTTCTACAAAACTTGCCATACGCCAACATAATTTTCGGGAATATCCTGAGAATTAATCTCACAGAATAGCATTGTTAAATGAAAAAAATAATAAGCAAATAAACAAGCAGATTTAAAAAAAAATTAAAGTCTACTTTTTATTTTGTTAATATGTTTGTTTTTTTTTAGAGCTCTATTATTACATTGTTGGATGTATCTGTTTGTTTATAAAACATTTTATCAAGAATAATACTTTGAGATAAGATGTATTTTAAATTAACACTTAGCTTCATCTCTTCGAGTTTCTTAATAATACGTCTAGTCAAGGGTTATAAAAAGAGGAACATTCAGTATATTTAACAAATATCAAGTTGTCTAACATTACATTTAAAGAATTATTACATTATACCCACAAACAAATACATTATAAGGAAATCATATAAATGGCCAGGTGGAAAGGAACTCTCATCAGCTGGGAGGCCACCTCTTTAGGAAAATTTAACCAAACAGGAAAGGTAGACAGATCTGCCAGAATTGGGTTGAATTTGGGGTGTATTCATTTCCCTATAAACACTAGTTTCATCACTGTTTTAATTAATCCAGACCTTCATTTAATATGCATTTTTGTGCCAGCAAATTCTGTAAAGGCTTCTTTCATTCCTTTGCCCAAATTAAACAAAATGCTCATCGTTACTCCTGCTCCAGAGTCCCACAATCTGATTTTATTGAATAATGTTTACTTGACAATTCACTGTACGCTTACATGAAAAATTGTTTCAGACAGAAATTGCAAATTCAGAATGGAGAAAAATTTTAGGTTTTTTTTCTGAAAATCCTAGGGGGGGGAAAAGACTTTATTTTCCCTTGAAAATGTATAGTACAATAAACAAACATAACACATGAGAGTCCCAGAGATACACGAACATTTCTTTGGAGCGTTACAGTCCAAATGTGCATTCCAAAAAGATAAGTCAAAATCCATATTTATAAACCATTTATAACACTTTCTTTTCACTCATCCATTAATTTTTTTTTTTACCATGTTTGTAAGTTCTGGAACAGAATGAGCGTAACATTTTATATTTTAATATATTTTTCTTGTAATTGCAATACTTGCTGTGTAATAAACCCTGCGTTTTGCTAAATGTTAAATAATACGTCTGGCTTTGGCAGACAAGTTACATTAATTTCATAGTTTTTAATGGAATGCAATCTCATTAAATAAGCAAAATTAAATCAGCTACATTTATCAATCTGAGGTTTTTAGATGATGCTGAGATGTATTTAGCAATGTTCATTAGAATACAATATGGATCCCATGAGATAATCGCACACGTCACATGATGTCAACAGTATCAAAAATACTTTAGAAGGCATTCTGATATAGTGGTTCCGCTTTTAAAGGGACACTCCAGGCAACTAAAGAGTGTTCATATAGTTTAAAGCTTATAATATGATAACTCACCTGACTTAATATACATGATGACTATGGTTGACAAATCTACCAAGCTTCCTGGACACAAATCCCTTGTACTTATGGTTGGGCAATATATAAAAAGTGCTGCCCTTCGGGATGTAGAATTTCATTTCCAACAGTGTGGAACGCAAGTGCTCAATCGTTGAGAAGACTAGAAGGAAGGAGAAAAAAATAGGAAGGTACTTCACATACAAAGTAGCAACTGGATTTATACTGTACTTGTCCAAACATTTCCAAAGGGAAGCATGACAATAGAATGCAGGTTCCAGGATGCCCCATGCATTTTTACGAGAGAGTATTACAAATAATATAGTTATTAACACAGTGTTTTAAAGGCAATGCAATGGTTTCTGGTAGTTGTATTTTCAAATAACTAAATTCTGCTAATGAAAACTAACATCTGAACGGCCAGTCCCAGAAATATTCCAACAAAGTTCTAACATTGTGTACAGCAGTATTAGACAAGAACAAGGCTGGCTAGGAGGAGATGAAATGAATTGTGTTTTAAAATAATAATAACTGTGCAATAATAAAATA